GCGGGAACCAGCCCCTGAGCGAGGGAAAGCGAATGTGGCGGCGGCTCCCTTCCCCATCTGTGTGCCCGAAATAAAGGGACCCCCCTTTGTCTCGCCACATTTGCACCCCGCTTCTGCAGGGGCCAAACCTGCCTCTCCTCACTAGACAGATAGGACTGCCCCGGCCGCCGAACGGCCTTGCCGATGGGAAGGGGGCTCTCCGGGCAGAAGGGGTTGGAAATAAATTAGTTTGGGGTGGGGGGGATGTGCAATGCGCCCGGATGCCGCGTCCCCTCTGTCTGCCCCTCAGCTTGACCCGGACCAGAGCTGGGGGCAGGCACGTGCTTCCCCCCCCCCACACACACACACTCTACCTCTGCCGCTGGACTCTGTGCGCTTGGCCTATCTCCTGAGCCAGGTGGGTCAGGACTTGTCCTAGGGCTGTCCCGCTCCCCCCCTCCCCAGGGCTGCTGACTTAAAAATCACCCAAGTCCCTGGCTCTGAGTGTTCCCCTCCTCTGCCCCCGCCTGATCCGCCCCTGTTCACACGGAGGCCTGGGCCCCCTTTGGCAGCGAGGGGCTGGCGGGCAGGATCTCAAAGCCCTCGCCTTCTCCTCCGCGCTGGGAGCATCCACCGTTGCGAGAAATCTGGACAGTGCCTGGGGGGCTCGTGCACCAAGTGGCGTGAAAGCCTCCCCCTTTCCCTCCCTTGCTCTTCCACCCTAACCTCCAGGCTTCTCTCAGCTTCCCCCCCAGCCTTTCCCCTTCCCCTAAGTCCCCTCCCGCACCTCCCCCCCTTCTGTTTTCTTCCCGATCCTGCGGTCAGTGCTTTGGATCCTGAGCCTGGACCGGGGTGTGATTTTGGGGAAAGGACAGGAGACTTTCCCCCCTCCCCCCTACCCCGTGAAAGTTCCCCTCGATTATTGCTGACATCTCAGGCTGTCTGACGGACTTGAGCTAGAAGGGGCCAGTCTCCAGGTGCAGCGTTTACACTGTCAGGATAGCCTAGGCTGCGGAGCGAGTTCGGAATACCAGAAGGATCCGGAATAGCTATTGAAGCAGCCTGTTATTTCGAAATAGATTTCAACCTAATGGGCAGCTTATTCCCACGTCCTGGTAACCCTCCTTCCCGGAAGTTAAGGGGCATTTCGGAATAGCGAGTTATGTCGCTACACAGCGCCGAATTACCAAATAAGCTATTCGGAAATACATGCAGAATAAACTCCGTCATTTTGCAGCTTATTTCGAGCTACGGGTTCTGTGTAGACACCCCGAGGGTCTTTGTCTTGGAGAACAGCCCCGATTTGTCATTTCCTTCAAGCGAAGCTGCCAATTTCCCTTTGAAAACTCTTTCCTGAACTGTTACTCCCCCCCCCCCCCCCAATAATTCCGTGACCCTCTCTCCTTTGGAGACGCTAGTGAATTACAGACCCTCCATCCAGCTACGTGGTGTCTTTTGTTTCCACCTGTGGGGAGCAGCTTCTGGGCTCACCTCCGACCCCGTCTAGTTTGCCACACGGGAGCGATCCATCCCTTCCCTATGGAGCCGGGGCTAGTGCCCGTAGGAGCCGGGAGGAGGGGAAAGGAGGGAGGCATCGGCTCCTTGTGAGAATTGTTATTTTTCATCAATCACTCGCCATTTGTCTAAGCGCGCGGGACAGGACACCAGCAGCCCTGCTGGCTGAGGTCAGGGAGACAACCCAGCGGCGGAGAAGAGCAAATTGCATTCGCTCCCGGACTGCCAGATCCAAATGCCTGGCTTGGCAGGGCGAGGGGAGAGAGCGAAAGGTCCATGTGACATGCGGGGAATATGACGGACTTTGACAGGTCTTAAACGGCCTGGCGCCAAGGCCTAAGTCTACCAACCAGCAGCCCTGCTGGCTGAGGTCAGGGAGACAACCCAGCGGCGGAGAAGAGCAAATTGCATTCGCTCCCGGACTGCCAGATCCAAATGCCTGGCTTGGCAGGGCGAGGGGAGAGAGCGAAAGGTCCATGTGACATGCGGGGAATATGACGGACTTTGACAGGTCTTAAACGGCCTGGCGCCAAGGCCTAAGTCTACCAGCTAAAATTCTGTCTTTGCTAAAACTTTTGGGGGTAGGTCTTTGTCCTGGCAAACTGGAGGAATCTCCTTAAAAATCTCTGTTGCAACACTTAACCCCCCTGCCTTTCACGCAGGAATTTTTACCCCCAAGTAGACACAGCGTAGGTGAGATCAACACCGTTTTCTATATAAAACAGAACTATCGTTGAATCATTCCCCGTTCTTTCTCCTCTTCCTCCGCGCTTTTAAATTCACCCACCCCGGTGGAGGTGCTAAGGTACCTCCCTTAATGTTGGGAAGCTGTTTGCATGTTTCATAAAGTCTTCGCGTTTTAATTCGCCAACGTGCCATCTCCTGAGGGTGAAGCCCGAAGCGAACAAGAGCGGGACAGGGGAGGCTATAAACAGAAGATGTACAAAGAAAACTTTGCCTTTTAAACAGCTGTAAGT